CTCCCCCCTACACACCCCACCCTCCCCTACGTGTCCTCCCCTCCCCGGTCCCCGTTCCCTGGCTTCTTCCCCCTCTTGCTGTCTCAGCAGCTCAGTGAACCTCACATTCCAGGTGGGCGGAAGCCTCCCTGTGGGCTGACCCGGGTGTCCCTAGCAACTCACAAGCAGTAGGAGCTCAGTGAAATGTGTTTGAAGGAAACGAGAAGGGCGGTAGCGGGCACATTTGTTCTGGCCAAATGACCTCCATCCTCCCAACACTGCAAACATACTTTCTATTTTTTTTTTTTTGGAGTTGGAGTCTCACTCTGTTGCCCAGACTGGAGTGCAGTGGCCGCTCCCGGCCACCGCAGCCTTGACTTGCTGGGCTCCGGCGATCCTTCCGCCTTAGCCTTCGGAGTAGCCGGAATTACAGGCGCGTGCTACCACGCCCGGCTGATTTTTTGATTTATTGTAGAGATGAGGTCTCGCTGCCCAGGTGGGTCTCGAACCTGCGGGCTCAGGCAATCCACTCACCTCAGCCTCCCAAAGGTGTGGGATTACAGGCTGAGCCACCGAGCCCAGCTGCAAACATACTTTCAAAGTAAACCCACCACGAGAGATGCCTGCCATACGATGGATAGCTTATCTATTTTTTAAGGTATCCCCTTGACAAGGGTGGTGTATATTTAAGGTGCACAATATCACTGGATGCACTGCACGCCGTGTAAGATGGCCCCGGTCCAATTAACAGGCGCCACCCACCAAACACGAGCCCCCAGACCCTGTTCCTCTTGTAACTGGAAGTGTAGACCCTTGCCAAGTCTAAGGAAACAGGCTTTTGAGTGGGAGTTTAATTGAGTGGGAGTTTAATTTTGAGCGCTTTTATCTCGGTGAGGGGGGAAGGTGGTATGCCAAGCACCAAGACTAAGGCTTGTTATGGTGACATTCAAGGCTCTGCCTTGTGGGAGGGGCTTCACCTCAGCGCATTTGTACTGAAATCTATGACCACAGAGCTCCTGCTGGCTGCGGGGCTGGCACAGTCCCCAGGAAAGGACGTCGGTCGGAAACCTCTCCACCCAGCACTGAGGGCCAGGCCGTGCATCCCCAGAGATAAGGCCCCACTGGGCGGTTTTCCCGGGCCTGCTCTGTGGACAGAGGCCAGAGAGCAGGAGCCTGGGGTCCCAATCCCCATCACATACCAGCTGATCGCCTCAAGCAGGTCACTGGACAGCCTGCTGAAGCGGGCGCCACGCTCGCTTGCAGGACTCTTCCAGGCATGGAGAGGGCGGACAGCAAGACCCCAGCAGGCAGGGGATACCTTCTTCCACCCGGGAGCTCACCCCTCACTCACCGCCAGATGACAACACAAGCCTGTGTTCTCAGGCATGGAGCCCCGACTTGAGCGCCACGTGGGCCTCACGAAATGCAGTCTCATCCTTGCTTGTTCGTTTAAAACCAACTCACACATGCCTTCCACTGGCGCCTGACAGGAGGAACTCAGGCTGCAGCACCCCAGATGCTGGGGTTGCAGACTGCTCCACTGTGCCCGATCTGTGGTACTTGACGGGCACCAAGCTTTGAGCGCTCTGCCCACAGGGCTCCCGGCCTCACCAGCGGGCGCGAACCCACAGTGGCTGCAAGTGTGTACATGGCTGTGTCTAGGTCAGTCCCTGAGACCAGGGTGCTTTTTAACACATGTGTCAAGAGTGCTATTCAATACACTTGTCTGGCCACCTGCCTGCAGTCAGGAAGTTGCGCTTCACGCTGCGTGGCAGCGACAGAATCTCTCTGTGGATGGGTCGCGTCCGTAACCTGAGCTCTCAGCACCAGGAAGGCGTGGAGTGCTTGTTTGCACATGAAAATGTGGCTGCTGGAGGGGATGTCGCTGTCCACGCCCGGAGCCCACCAGGGCGTGTCTCAGAGTCGGCACATGGCCGCATGTTCTCTGTTCTAAAAGGTGCTTCTCGGTTCAACCATCTGTGTGTCCCTAGCCTCCCCCGTGTCCCCTCCTGTGCACGTCACCCGGCCTCAGGCCCTTGCTGGGTGCAGTGGGAGACAAGGCAGGGTGTCCACCTCCCGCCTGCCACTCTTGGCCTGTGGGTTTCAGATGACATGGCCTTTTAAAATCCTAAGTGCTTCTTTCTGTGCTTACACACCCTACTCCCCGCCACAGCCCGGCCATTCCTCGGCGTGACACCAGAGCCAGTGTCCCCATGGCATTCCCTGGTCTCCACTGCCACCCGAGGCTGCCACCGCTGGCTGAGCCTCTGTCCAGATAGGACACTGCAGAAGCTGCAGGCGCTCAGGCCAGGGACATTTTGTCACGTGACTTATAAGCAGCGATGGGTTTTCCGTCCTGTTTGGGGCCTGGCTTCTATGCTCATGGGAGCTGGGAGACCCATGCCAGGCCCATCTCTCCACCACGATTTACCATGTGGCTTAGATGGGCTCGTTCCCTGTCCAGGTCTCATCTCCTGAATGAGCAGCGCATGTGGCCACGCACATACCCACGTACACTTGCATGCACATCCACACCTGCACACTCACACCCACATGCACATACTTGGACACATGTCCACACCCCCCACACACCCACACATGCATGCATGCACATACACCCCTGCATACGCCCACACGTGCATGAAGGCACACCCACGTGCACACACCCACAAGCACACTCACACACACCCACATCCCCACACTCACCCACACATACGCGGTCAAGACGGAGGGGAGGGCCAGCCAGGGCTGTCCAGGAGCCCGGAGGCTGCCTCGGGGCCGCAGGGCTTGGGGGTGCCGCCCGTCAGCGTGCCCTCTCTCCCCCAGCCCCACTGCTGCCATGGTGATGAGTACCACACGGAGAGCAGCCGGGGGTCCGACCTCTCGGACATCCTGGAGGAGGACGAGGAGGAGCTCCACTCCGAGATGCAGCTGGAGGACGGGCGGCGGCCCAGTGGCCCCTCCCACAACGCCCTCAAGGTCAGTGGCCGGGCCGCGTCCCCTGCGGGGCTGGCCAGGCGACTGCGGGGGGCCTTGGCCTGGACCCAGCCCGGATTCGGACCTGCTTCCTCCCCACCCTTGGGTCAGCCCGGGAACTCTGCCTTCCCATCCTTGCCACAGGCTGAGGAGGAGTCCGGGGTCCGTGCGGCTCCTCCAGGTCAGGCCATGTGAGGGATTGCACAGGAAGGAACAAAACAGAATCCTTCCCTGGGGCTCGCCCTGAGAGTCGGCACTGAGGGTGTGGACGGCCCAAATCAGAGCCCGCGCTGGGCGGTGGCTGAGGTCAGGGGAGGTGACGAGGGACAGCCGTGCCCGGGCCAGTCAGAGCCACCCCTCGTGGCAGGCCGGAGGCTCCAGGCCTGCTCAGCTGCCTCCCACAGACCCACGTGTCCTGCTCCCCCAGCAGAGGCCGTCAGCGAGGGCTGAAGGAGGTGGCCGTTGGGCATGCTGGGCCTGAGGCTACCTGGAGCCAGGGAGGCTGCGATTCCGAGTGTGTTGTCCCCTCCTTGCCTGGGGACATGGTGGCCCTACTCACAGACTCATTCGCTCCACCGAGCTGCGGCTGGTCACCCCTGCACTGGGCCCTGCTGAGCTGAGGGTGCGTGAGGCCCCCTCCCTCGGGCAGTGCTCAGTCTGGTGGGGCACAGGCAAAGGCCAGGCCGTTGGCCACTGGCAGGACCACCGTGGGCTTTCAAATTGGAGAGGCCTGGGAGAAGCCCCGGGAGAGCTCGCCAGTCACATCCCCCGGGAGCAGAGCGTGTATTCTGAATGATGGGCAGAGGGCACGTCCGAATCTGGCCGGCAGTGCGCCGACTTGCATAGATAAGACTGACTTATGTTCTCTGGGCAGAAGCCCCGTGGAGCCCTGGGCCTGTCACCAGGAACATGCCAGATCCCTATGCAAATCCTGCATGGTTGTGGCTGGTGCTATTCCCGGGGGCTCGGCCCCAGCTACTAGGGTGACGTCACTGAACCAGGGTCACACTGGACTGTCCCGAGCCGTCCAGCCCCCTGCCCCACTGGTCCACACTGTGCTGGAACCAGGGGCTCCTGTGTGTACCCACAAACCGGGCCAGGTGAGGCAGGCACCTCTTTCTCTGTCTGGGACTCTTCTCCTTTTCATGGCGGAGGGCCCGGAGATTGCAGAGCAGAGAGATGGAAAGCCACTTCCTCGGGTGAGGCCCCGAGGCCAGCAGGTCCTCACACACCTGTGGCCGACCCACCCACGCTCAGCCCCTCTGCCTCCTAGAAACAGCAACGCGTGTCCAGGGGGCGGTGGGCAGGTCCGCAAGGGCATCCTCCTCTCGCCCATGTGATGTTCTCACGGTATTGAAAAACCAGGAGGTTGTACAGGCAGGTCAGGGTTTCTGGATCCTCTTGAGAAATTCCAAGACATGTGAGGCCTGGCCAGGCTGGGTCACGTTTCCAGCCTGCAGCCACCCACAGCGACCAGGCCGCATCTCCTGATGGGATCCGTCACATGCACGCACCCATGGCCCATCTGCTCACCCGTGGCCCAACCGCTTTCGGTCACTCACCTGTGGCCTGCCTGTCCTGGCTGCGCCCAAGTTGCCATCACTGTGCCCTGAGGATGGGACTTTTTTAGGATCCTCCCCCTGATGTGGGTTGGTGTCCCCTGAACATGGCATCAGGCAGCAGAACCCGATGTGGCAGCCCCACACGGTCCCCGTGCCCTGGGGCCCACGGGTCCACTGGAGGGTAGGCAGGTCGCGGTATCCCGCCAACATGGTTCACCTCTCCGGAGCATCCCGCTACCACAGGAAGTGGGGTCACGCTTTGCTTGGAGACCCGGCCAAATCCCCCCACAAAGACAGGCCCATCAGGGGTGGCATTCAGCACGAGAGCACGCCTTCCAGTGGGGGTGAGTGTGAGGCTCTGGCAGAGAGAGGCCTGCAGAGACCTGCAGGCAGAAAGGAAGCACCACGGATGCCGACCAGGCCACTCCTGGCTGTGGCCAGCCCCACACCACCTGTGGGAGACCACAGTGGCTCAGACTGTGACTCTGCTCCCAGACCCCAAAGGACAGGATTCAGGAGAAAGGCAAACCCAGGCCTCTGCTGACCCAAGCTGGGCACCACAGTGTGCCAGGTGTGGTCTCAGCCAGGGACATGGTGCTGAATGCCAAGGTGCCCGGTTCCATGCAGCTGGCGTGTTGCCAGGGAGACATGTCAGCAGGAAGTCAGCCAACAGGAGAGACTTCCGGGGGCGCCAGGCTAGGAAGGAACCGAGTGAGCGGGACAGACAGGCACAGGCGCGGCCCACCGTGGGCGAGCTGACTCCAGGCGTGTCCAGCCTCCCTGGCAGCTGCCTCCGCAGGCTCTGAGGATGCAGCTGGTGGGCGGAGGGTCGGCTCTCCCGGGGACCCCGGGCCCCGGCGTGGTGACCTGCCCGCGCCCCGCTGCCTCCGAGCTTGCGGTCCCAATGGCATGCATGCGCTGGCACCCCCGCTCTGCTGCGCTCTGGCTGGCTCTGCACCCTGGCCATCCCGTCTTGTCCCAGAGCCCCGGCATGCCTCTGGCCCCACAGGTGCACGCGCCCGGGGCTCCAGGACTAATGCTGTCGTGTTTTCTTTCCTCCCTCGCCCACCTCCCGTCCGCCCACACACTGCCTTGCCTGCACCTGTCCTGACACGCGCCACCCCCAAGGAGTGCCCCGGGGATAGGACTCCGGAAGGCGCTTTCTGGGAGCAGCCCAAGTTTCCCCACCATCCCCCGCACAGGAAGAGGCTTTTCAGTATCCCTGAAGTAGCAGAAGAGGACGGAGAATACTGTGACCTCCTGCACAGGCAGGGCATGGGGACGTCCCCCAGGGCCAGGATGGGGGCCTGGGAGCCCAGGCCCGGCCGACCCCGCAGGGGCTACGAGGCCCCACGCAGCTCCTGGCTCCCTGCCGCACCCCGGGGCCCCGGGGCCGCCCTCCACGCGGAGGAGGACCTCCTCCTGGAAGACAGAGGCTGCCGGTTCAGCCGCCCTGCCACCCGCAGCCCCGACAGCGGCCTGGACTGCGGGAGCGAGGAGGAGGAGCCACGGTTCAACTTCGGGACCAGGTGCAGCCCAGGCCCTGGGCACTGTCCCTGCAGGGCGAGCCTGAGGCCCCTGCTGGCCCGGCGGCGGACGCTGACCCGGCAGAGCAGCGTCGAGGAGGACTTTTGGGAGCAGGAGGATCCCAGCGACATCCTCCGGAGCCATGACGCCCAGCCCACCCCGGAGAGGCCCATCCCCAGGAAGCATGGCTGGGACGAGCCCGCCGAGCGCGAGGATGTCCGGGGTGTCTGGAGGAAAAGCATGGCTGTGCCCGACAGTCGGGCGGGGGCCCCACACGCAAGGGCCCCTCCCCGCGTCGCCCCAGGCCCTGTGGTGTGTGCCATAACCCGCCCACCCCCGCCACCGCCCAGTCAGCCTGTCCCACGCGCTCGAGGGTTTTGGTTTGTTTCTGGGGCCCGTCCGGGACTCTCGCTGGCTCTTTCATTTCCCCGCACGTTTGGTTGCTCCAGTCCCGTTCGCACTTCCCAACCTTTTGGCCCCGCTGGACATTTCTTTACTTTGCATAGAGTCCTGCCCATCCCCGGATCGATGATGATTATGGCTGCTTCAATTAAAGGTCAACTGAATCTACATTTTACTTAAGGGTTAGCTGAACTGTGACCATCTAAGAGTCTGGCAACAGATGTGTTTTCAAAATGATCCACAGGGACATATTTATAACTGCGAGTATTGTTGAAGGGTTTTTTCCTTCTTCTTGTTTGGGGTTTTTGTTGAATGACTTGCATCCATCCCTGGACGACAAGGAGAGCAGTTCTTGAAGAAATCCATTTTTGCGCATTGTTTCCAAGGTTTTTTGGCTTTCCCCATTTGCCTCCTGCTGCCATGGTTTCCAGAGTGAATGTTCTCTGCCCAGGGATCACCTGGTTCTGCCTCCAGAGCCTGCTGGCTGGCTCGGAGAGTAAGGACCCACTCACAGCTCGCTCATGCCTGTGGTGTGTGTCCTCTTTTCAGCACATTTGCTCCCGCCATGCTGACCCTTTCATGGAAAACACTGGGATGGCCGCGAGGGGTGCCACGCCTGCCCACAGCCTGCCCACCCACAGCCTCCCCCCTCCTGCTCTTGAGCACCTGAATGTGCTCCCTCGACCCCTCCCTAGGGAGTGGGAGGTTCTGCCCCTGCCCCTCAGCCAGCCTTGACCCTGGTGTCAACCAGATGCGAACTCACCCAGGCGGGAGAGCGTCGGGGTTGGCCTAGGACACACCAGGGACGTCGGGTTAGAGCCGAGGGGCTGCCTTGAGCATCACAGCTGATAAAACGCAGACACTGAGCCAGGCTCGGTGGCTCAGCCTGTAATCCCGCGCCTTTGGGAGGTTGAGTTGAGTGGATTGCCTGAGCCCGCGGGTTCGAGACCCGCCTGGGCAGTGAGACTTCATCTCTACAATAAATCAAAAAGTCAACTGGGCGTGGTAGCACATGCCTGTAATTCCGGCTGCTCAGAAGGTTGAGGCGGAAGGATCGCCGGAGCCCAGCAGGTCGAGGCTGCGGTGGCCAGGAGCGGCCACTGCACTCCAGTCTGGGTGACAGAGTGAGACTCCAACTCAAAAAAAAAAATGCAGACACTGTTGTTTCAGAGTGTCCAGAAAGCTCATGTGCAACCTTCACCTGAGCAGAACAGGTGTGCAACCTTGTTCCTGATTGCAACAGCTGGGGGCAGGGGATAGGTGCCTGGAGGCCAGGGAGGGCCATGGTAGCCCAAGGTGCCAGCAGTAGGGTGAGAACGTTGTCACTTGGGTCCAAAATGTCTGGCTTCAGCCAAGGCTTCCGAGGAGGCACACCTGCCCCGGCTGCCACATGTCCACCGGCGGCAGACATGGGCAGCAGGGCCGGGGACAGCATGCTCTCTCCACAGCCGCTCAGCTAACCTTTCAGTGAAAAGCTACATTTAGTTGCCTTTCGAGCTTCTGCTTCTCAATGGACCTGATTTGCCTGACTGGACGCTCCCACCCGAGGCTCTGAGACTCATGATCCTGTGCTGTCTTGTCTTCAGATTTTAGGAAACCCGGCGTCGGCAGGACGGGCGGACAGGGTGGATCACCTGGGCCGGAGGTTTCCCCGCAGCAGTGCTGGTCCTCAGAGGTCCCGGCCCGGGACAGGCCCGTCCATCGGTCAGTGGCCCCTGGGGCGCTTTCTCTTTCACCCGCAGAGCACACAGCTGCTGAAAAATATTTAGGAGTGGCCTTTTCAGCTAAGTATAGAAACTCCCTATTACTTATGGCAAAGGCAGACACATCACACCTGGCTGTGAGCACTCACGCTGGGCTTCATGCCTCTCTCCCCTTGCTGGTTCCCTCTGGGAGTTTTGCACCATGAGCATGAAGGGAGGGCCTTGGCCTTCCACCTGCCTGGCACGCTCCCTGGGGCTTGGGACCCGAGTCCAAGGCAGGCACAGGACAGGAGGGCGGCATGCCCCCGACACCCACGGGGGCCCTGAGTGGAGGAGCATGGTCACACCCATAGGACACACCAGCGGTGGCACTGCTGTAGACACACTGTGTGATGAATGTGCCCTGTAGTGAACGCCCTTGTCCTCCCGTCACCTGTCCACTCACGAGTCATTCCCTGGCACTGTCCCCACTCTCCTAATTACTTTCTGGAATTCAGCCAGCCATGCCAAAGCGGTCGTTTTACTTGTCCCGATCAACCTATTGCGGGCGGATGAGGCTGCAGCTCAGAGGGGAAGGCTCCCGTCATGGGAGTGGATCACGGCGTGCACAGTTCCAAAAAGTGTGTGCGGGGAGCTGGGTTCTTGTGAACACACACGCACACATACGCATACACACGCACACATGTGTACACATGTATGGACACATGCACATATACATGCACACACACATACACACATAAACAATGCACAAACATATACCCATGCACGCACACACATACACACACACACATAGGTACACACAGCCCAAAGCAAGGAGACCTGTTATACAGAAATGAGGACAGTTCAACACCTGGATTTGCCACGGTGGGGCTCAAAACAGCAATTTCTGGCTGTCAAGACAGCTAAGAGCCAGCATGAATCCCACGCAAGTGGCTGAGACTTGACAGCGTGTGGACTTCTCTCCCATCCACACAAATGAAGACAGAGCTTTTGGAGCAAGATAGGTCCTCTAACGCCTTGTCCTGCCAGAGTTTTTCCTTCTTACCATTCAAATAATAGGAAAAAGTAGTTTCCTTTGCAGTTTTTAGAATGTTTTTATTTTTATTATCAGTAAAAATGTCACTGAATCTTAAAGATTCCTAAGAAACACGGTGTTTTCAGTTAACTCAATGACACAGCGTGAACTGTCGCACTGGATGGCACCCACGCCACTTATCCTAGGTGGCCCAGCAGGGTAACTTCCATGCTGAGATGAAACCCCTTCTGAGTGCCTTAGGCCAGTGCCGTTTCTCACATCTTTATTTAATTGAACAACTCTAGAGCTTAGCCTCCCATCTTGGGCACAAGGTCGGCAGAGGCTCCTCCTTTATTGTGGAGGCTGGTCTCAAGTCTCCACTGTTTTGTTCATAAGGTGACCTGGTGGGGTCCATGCAGCTGAAGAGTTAATGTTATGGCACTAAAACACATTCTCTGAGGATGCAGGGTGGGCCTCTACTCCAGTCTCGTAGGACCAAGGACAGAAAATGGTGCAGCCACAAGTTACCACTAAAACAAGAAAGTGAAGGAAAAAGGCCCTGGACCCACAGTCCTGTGACCCTGTCCTCAGAGTCTTAGACATCTCTTGGGTTGGATTTTTGTTAAGGCAAACAATTCCAAAGGCTGCCTATATCTTGATTTCAATAAGACACTCGTTCAGTTGGTAGTAAAAGATTAAGTCTATGTTAATACCTTCACAGAGAAAGGGCCCCATAATCATGTAACTCAGGAAAGGTTTAATTAGAAATCCACAACAGATTTGCTTCAACTCACTGACCCAAGAAGCCACCCACAAACATGACTAAGATCACACACTTCCTATCCACACATAACTGCATGCTCACACATCTCAGCACCCGCTGTGTCTTCAGGAGAACGCCAACACAAAACACACTCAACACCTCCCAGGAGGAGGCGGGGGAGTGACCCTAGACAATGGCAGTCGTGTTTGAACAGACGGTATTTTCCTCTGGTTCTTGTTTACTTCGTTCTATTTTTCTTGTGGAATTATTAGTAATTAATATTTTACAACTCTGCTGTATCCCAAAAGCATCAATTTTCTTTTCTAGAGGAAATTAAGTCTGTGAACCACATGCTGCCTAAGCATATTTTAATAAGTCACGTATCCACAATTGAACACAAACATGACAGCTTCCCACATTCTCTGGGTTTCTATCATTTTCAGAAATGCCCTTCCTGGTTTAAAAAACAAACGTCCCCAGCTCCACATCTGATGCACTGCAGGTTGCCAAGAGTCCAAGGAGACCAGGCCTGGCCATGACCCTCGGTCCCGCCCACGTGTGGCTAAGCTCAGGGTGGGGTGGGTTTCACAGTCCTCACGTCCTCTCCAGCCCCTGTCCAGCCCCCGATCATCTCTTAAGTCACAGTTACAAAAAAAAAAAGCCCAAGTCCTGGCCTCAGCGGTCCCCAGGCTCTCCCGTCCATTCCCATGGTGCAGCCCCGGGGGACGGGGCTCACCCCCTCTGTCCTTCTCACACGCTCCAGATGAGTACAGGCGCGACCGCCTCTCTCCGGACTTCTACGAGGAGTCGGAGACCGACCCTGGCGCCGAGGAGCTCCCGGCCCGCATCTTTGTGGCCCTCTTCGACTATGACCCACTCACCATGTCCCCGAACCCAGACGCCGCCGAAGAGGAGCTGCCCTTTAAAGAAGGCCAGATCATCAAGGTGCGGGGGGCCGTGGGGGCTGCAGGGGTTGGGCAGAGACGGAGAGACCCCTTTTCCAGCAGGTGGCAGGGGAGAACACGGGAGGAGCCCCTGGAGGAGCCGTGGAGTGGTGCTGGGACGGCTGTGCCCCGCCCTCGATGACCCGTCACCAGGGCCTCCTCGTCTGTGGCAGGGGGGTTGGGGGTGCCTTTGCCCGAGTGCCTTCTGGGGTTGTGTGCACACAGACATGCCTAAGGCTATCCCGTGAGCTGCAGGCCCTATCAGGCCTCCTGTCCTGGCAAGTACTCCAGGCTCTTCTGTGTAACAGGGACTGTTCCATGCCTGAGAGCTGAGCTTCAGGCAGGCAGGAAGACAAGGGCAGGGAGGGGGGGAAGAAGGAGGGAGGGAAAGACAAGTGAGAAGGGGAAGGGAGGGAATGGAAGGAAGGGAGAAGAAACAAGGGAGGGAAGGAAGGCGGCAGAAGGGGAGGGAGGAGGGGGGGGAACGGAGGAGGTGGCGTCTCCACACCATAGCGCCTCCTCACAGTGGCAAGCTCGCACTTCCCATCCGCTTTATTTATATTTATTTATTTTGAGTTGGAGTCTCACTCAGTCGCCCAGACTGGAGTGCAGTGGCCGCTCCCGGCCACCGCAGCCTCGACTCCTGGGCTCCGGCCATCCTTCCGCCTCAGCCTTCCCAGGAGCCGGAATTACAGGCACGCGCTACCACACCCGGCTGACTTTTTGATTTATCGTAGAGATGAGGTCTCACTGCCCAGGCGGGTCTCGAACCAGGCAATCCATCACCTCAGCCTCCCAAAGGCGCGGGATGACAGGCTGAGCCACCGAGCCCTGCTTCCCATCCACTTTAGTTTCTGCCTTCTAGTGGAGGAGAGCCTGTGAGCTTCCACTAGGGAGAATGAATGTGCACTGCTCAGCAGGAAAGGGGAGAGGGCCCTGAATGCCAAGCCCACCGGTTCGGGAAGGGCCTGCCCAGCCAGTGTGTGAGAGCAGGTCTGGGTCCGCCAGGTGGCCCCAACTCCTCGTGGAGGGGCCACCGCAGGCCACCAGGGGCGCCCTGGGCAGCGTGTAGGTCTGCTTGGGTGGGGGTCTCCGCATGCACACCTCTCACGCGTGGATTCATACCTGCACACTGCCGGGCCGCCCCAGGTAGGGGGCTTAGAGGGCGTCAACCCAGATACAACGCAAGCAATGCGTACACACCCATGGCGTGCAGGTGAGGCTTACGGAGTTTCAAGGGTGTTTTAAGAATGTGTTCGAGCCGGACTCAGTGGTTCAGCCTGTAATCCCGTGCCCTTGGGAGGCTGAGGTGAGTGGATTGCCTGAGCCCGCGGGTTCGAGACCCGCCTGGGCAGCAAGACCTCATCTCTACAATAAATCAAAAAATTAGCCGGGTGTGGTAGTGCTCACCTGTAATTCCGGCTACTCGGAAGGCTGAGGCGGAAGGATCGCCGGAGCCCAGCAGGTCAAGGCTGCGGTGGCCAGGAGCAGCCACTGCACTCCCTTCTGGGCGACAGAGTGAGACTCCAACTCAAAAAAAAAAATATTTTCGACTCTACGTGACTCTGCTATAAGCGGGACTCAACCCTGAGATGACACTCTGACTCCCCTGCTCTAGGTTTATGGTGACAAAGACGCCGATGGGTTCTACCGTGGGGAGACCTGCGCCCGGCTCGGCCTCATTCCCTGCAACATGGTCTCCGAGATCCACGCAGATGATGAGGAAATGACAGACCAGCTTCTCAGGCAGGGCTTCCTCCCCCTGAACACCCCTGTGGAGAAGATAGGTAAGCCCAGCCCGTCAGCCTGTACCCCGAGCCTTATGGTTCAGAGCGGGGGCGGTGACCAGGGCGCCAGGTGGCATCAGGTCACTGAGCCAGAGTCAGGGGAAATGGCCGTTGGCTTCCCTTGGGCAGAACCTGCTCTGTATGCCCAGGCTGTGACAGTCCTCATGTCCAGGGACCCACGAGTACCTGAGTGTTTGTATGGACACAGATGATGTGACAGGATGGCTCAGCCTTGCTCACGGAAGGTCTCATGGATCCAGAAGGCAGCAACAGGCCCCTTCTGTCCTGAGCTCTGAATGTCCATCTGTCCACACTGACTTGGGAGAGCACCGGGGAGGGCTGTGCCTGTTAGTCTTCAGGTGAATTGTGTTTGTTCAAAAGACCCGAAAGCTCTTTTCCTTTCATTTGGATGGACACTCAGCTAGCTCCTTCACTTACCTTGAACCAGCAACAGTGAGAAAACAGCACAACTATTTTCAGTGAGTTTTAAGCAATATTTCATTTATGATCTTTAATTTTTTTCCCATATGCAAAGAAAATCTACCCATTAAAAAGGCCTCTACTTTTTCTAAATAACTGTGAAGAGAAAGACCAGTTTTATATCATTCATATTTAATGTTTAATATTTAAAAACATTAGCTTAAGTTCTAAAGCAGACTTCAGAGACAAATTCAGCAGTTCAAAGGATGTTTGAAGGATAATCACAGAATCAGATAAAATGTTGCAACCTTTTCTGTCATTAATAAACTCATTGCCTCAATGAAAAGTTCACACCCAGTAGTGGAGGTTTAGCGTCAATCTACTGCTTACATCAAACCCATGAGACTGAAGAGCTGAGCCCCTCACACTGTCCACTCCCTCTCATTAAGCTCTTCTGTCCTGAAGTTGACAAAGACAGGCTCAGAGCAGGAATAGCTCTGAGCTTCATAGATCCAAAAGTCTAAACGACTTTCTATAAAGGAACAGTAGCTTGGCTTACGTCATCCATGACAGTCAATGTCTTTGTATTCTGTTTTTCTAAGTGTGGCTGGTCAAGGGAACCTTGCCTGCCACTGCAATGAAGTGTCACCCTAATGGTGAAAGGCTGAATACTGTTCTCCCAAGATGGGGCAGGGGCGAATGTTGCCCTCCCCTCCCACCAACACAATGCCCAGTGCACCATGGTCCTTCTATCCTTCTAACAACATGCCCAGGGCATGATGGTCCTTCCAACATAACGCCTAGAGCACAATGGTCCTTCCAACACCATGCCTAGTGCACGATGTTTCTTCCAATACCACGTCCAGTGCATGATGGTCCTTCCGACACAATGCCCGGTGCATGATGGTCCTTCTGACACAATGTCCAGTGCATGATGGTCCTTTCACCACAATGCCTAGTGCAGGATGGTGGTAGAAAGGGAGGCGTGTCTACAGACCAGACAGGAAAGAACAAGACCTTTCCTATCGACAGATGACATGGAGATCTACTCAGAATATCCCAGAGAAGGAAAAGGCTCCCAGAACTAGAGAGCGAATGTCGCAGGGTCAATGGCCACAAGGTCGATGTACAAACATCAGTTGCATTTCCACATGTTGGCAATGAACTTTTGGAAACAGAAGTTTTTTAGAGGAGTGTCATTTGCAATAACACAACAGAACACGAAATACTTGGCATTAAATCTAACAAAATGTGCAGAATCAGTGTGCTGAAAACCACATAATGCCAATGAAAGAAATCAAATAATACTGACATATGTGGAGAGAGAGACCATGTTCATGGACGTAGTATTGTCATTATGTCAGATACCCCAAGCTGACCGGTGGATTCTGTGCAATCCCAATAAGAATCTGTACAGGGATTTATGTAGAATCAATAGGCTCATTCTAAAATTTATATGAAAAAGCAGAGAAACTAGATAGCCAAAACAGTTTTTTAAAAGAACGAAATTGGGTGACTCGCATAACTTGATTTCAAGCTGACTTATAACAGAACACCAATCAGGACAATGTCATAATGGGGAAAGGCTGTCCCCTAGAGAAAGGGTAGTCTTTTCAATAATTACTACTGGAATTATGGCACATTCATGTGCCAAAATGGATCTCAACCCATACTCTCACCATATGAAAAAAGTAAATCAAAATGGAACATTGTATAAAAAATTAAGTATAAAAAATCATATAAAAATTAGGACTATCGGCTAGGCACAGTGCTCAGGCCTATAACCCCAGCACTTGAAGAGGTCATGGTGGGAGGATTGATAGAGGCCAGGAGTTTAAGACAAGTCTGGGCAACACAGTGAGACCTTGTCTCTAAAAAATAAAAAATAAAATAAATAAAACAATTCAGCAGGGTGTAGTCCCAGCTATTTTGGAAGCTGAGGCAGGAAGATCCCCTGAGCCCAGGAGTTCAAAGTTATAGTGATCTGTGATCACATTACTGCACTGTAGCCTGGGTGAAAGAGTGAAACCCTGTGTCCAAAAAAACAAAACAGCAACAGCAAAAAAAAAAAAAAAAAAAAAAAACCTATAAAACTTCTAGAAAAAAATGAGGAAAAAAAACTTTGGTAGTTAGGGAAAGATTTATTTGACAAGACAAGAAAACATGATATATTAAAAGAAAAAAGTCAGTGTTAGGCTTCATCAAAATTAAATACTTCTGTGCTTAGAAAGACACCATTAAGGAACTAGAAAGAGAAGCCACAGGCTAGCGAAAATCCTTGCAAGTAACCCATCAGAAAAATCTTGGATTCAGCATATGCAAAGAACTTTTCAAACTCATCAATAATAAAAATGAGAAAAGATTCAAAGAGACCTCTCACTACAGGAGACATGTGGATGGCCAGCAAGCACATGGAAAGGCACTCAATATCATCAGTGAGACACAAATTAAAGCCGCCATGGGAAACCAATACACAGCCACCAGCACGCTAACATTTAAATGGCGGGCACGGGGCGTGGCAGGCACATGTGCCCACAAGATCTCTCTGTGCTATTGGTGGAGTGTGGAATGGTACCACATTCTGCAAAACAGTTGGCCTGTATCTTATGGAGTTCAACACATGCTTGCAGCCCAACCCAACAATTCCGCTCCCATGTACTCACCCAAGAAATGGGAATTTGCGTTCAGGCAGAAAGACTCCACATGAATGCTTCCAGTGGTTTGACTGGAAATCCCCAGAAACCAGAAACCACTCAAGTGCTTCCAGCTGATGAAAGAGTAACACTCTGTTGCCCCCAGATGTGGGACACCATTCAGCAGTGTGACTGGGATGGCTGCCTGTGCTTGCAGCAATGTGACAGACTCAGGTGCATTATCCAGACGAAAGAAGCCGTCTCGACCTCCGTTCTGTGAGACTCCCTTTAAATGATGTTCTGGAGAGGACGGAGGTAGGGACAGGAGGTGGTTTGGTGGCTACCTGGGCTGGAGTGGCCACACAGGATCATGAATGTTCTGGGGGGTTGTAGAACTGTGTGTGTCTGTCACAACTTATAGAACTACACACTAAAAAAGTGAATCGTGCCGTATGCCACTTCTGCGTTAGCAAGAGGCATGTGAATGTTGTCACACCAGCCTTCAGAAGTCACACATGCAGTAGCCCAAGTAACACGAACGGTGCTCGAAAGCACTGTATGTAACCCTAGGCGTAATGCTGAAACTCAAGGAAATGGACATCTGCCGGCCTCTCAGAGGGGGCTGTCTTCCTCTGAAATGGAGGATCTTAACCAGAACCCGGTGGTGGAATCATCTGGGACTTTGCACGTACACACACCTGGATCCACAGCTGCTGAAAACCGCTGAAAAATCACATGGCTAACTCCGGTTGCCTTTTAAACATTTGCCTTTGATAGTTCCATTTGTATGTCTGGAATCCCCCAAGCCAAACATAAGCACATGTGGCCACGTTTAGGAGAAACATGCATGCATGGCATTCTCCAGGAGGGTCTTCCCGGCCCCAGCAGTGACAAGCGGGCAGGACCCACGACCCTGCCAGGTCCCATGTTCTCCACTAACCACAAGTACATTGAACGGCTCGCATTTCCTGAGAGTTTTCACACACCACCTGTGTGGGGCTCTCATGCCTGACAGTCTAGGGCAGCCCCCCTGTGGCCCTGCTTGTGCTGGGATTTCACCAGGCACATCTGGGTGGCAGGGACAGCCGGGTGGCAGAGTGAAGCTCAAGGTGGACTGTCCGGAAGTGGCATCATTTCCATGACAGCTACTAAACCACAATGAAACACGTAGAGGAGGGATGTCAGAGAGGCCACCGAGCCGGGCGGACGGGGCTTCCCCTCTGCTGTTCTCACGGCTCCTGGCTGCTCTTGGGAAGAATGATACCATCCTGCCTGGCCATCACAGTTGCGTGGACAGGTGTTTGGAAACCGCGCTATAGGACTTCCCCAGTGGCCTACGGGACATCTCCCAGCCACGGCCACCTGTGCTGGCCCATACCATCTCCATCAGGCATGTCCAACCCATGGCTTGTGGAGCCACCTGCAGCCCAGGGCAGCTGGTCATGCACTCCCCCAAAATCTCTTCATATCATATGTTTTAGTGTGCATTTTCTTTGTGGTTCTATTTTTGAAGTTCACGGTCACGCCTTATGCACACCATCGCTTCTCGGCAGCACATACATTTGTGAGCAACTGCTTTCGGTGAGGAAGCACATGAACAGCAAAATTCAAACAAACATTTCTGACGAGCACCTTGGGAACTCACCAAGAATCGCGACCACTTCCATCGAACCAGACACTGATCGATTCGTTTTACAAAAACGATGCCAAATTCCCCACTCGTTTGTATATTGTTTTCATTTGTCTAGACTTTATAATAAAAATATACAACAATAAAATTCTTGTTATGGGTAAACGCTGTATCACATAATTTATCTGTGGCCCGAGATAATTCCTCCTTACTCAATGTGGCCCAGGGACGCCAAAGGTTGGCCACTCCTGGTGGAGGTCACCCCTCTTCACCAGTCCCACTGGTTTAAAGGACACACTGGAGAAAGGAAAATGTTCTTGTTACTGTAGCGGGAGACCAGATCAGAGCAAAAGCATGAGAATCCGGAGCCTAAGACACTCGGCCAGAGCAGAAGCGCTTGCTGATGACGGCGCCCAGCGTGCAGCCTTTGTGGATGACACCTCTGACCTGGAATAACGTGGTGACGCTTTCTTCCTCTCTTGTGATCTCCACAGAGAGAGGCAGGAGAAGTGGCCGGCGTCACTCTGTGTCCACCCGCAGGATGGTGGCTCTGTATGACTACGACCCCAGGGAGAGCTCGCCCAACGTGGATGTCGAGGTACTGCCTGGCCCCTCCCTGCTGACCTCAGACCCCGCCCTCTGCCTCGGGAACAGAGCCGTGCGAGACCATGGTCCTCAGGCCTGTCTTCCCTTCTCTGTGAGCTGTCCGCAGGAAGGGCTGCCGCCCCCATGAGTGGCCACTGTAGAGATGGCCCTGTGGGGAAGGAGCCAGGATGCTCCCAGGCACACTTGTGCCGTGACGAAAGAGCACATCTCACGGGGATGGCACCATAGGGTCACCTTTAGGAGAGACACAGGGACCCAGCGCACATGTTGGCAGGCAAAAACAAAGTGCCAGGGCCCCCCGGGATGGCGGAGTCTCTGCCTTGGGGGCCTGAGACACGCAGCCTTCAGAAGTGGACAAGGAGGCCCCCACTGGCGGTGCTGCTTGCCCGTGGGCAGGCTGTGTCTGCCCCGTCACTGCGGCATCCCTGCGTTCCCAGACAAGCCACAGCTCACGGGTTTCACGCCCTCATTTTTTTAAAGCATCCTCTGCTAGATCTCTGCTCCTGAGTTCTGTGAACACGGCTTCCACGGGTAACTGTGGGCTGGGGCCAGGGATTCCTGCAACGTGGAGTCTTGCTGGACGCTGCATGCCTGCCTCAGGCTGGTGCCTGGCACAGAGTTGACACCTAACACATAGTCATTTAATGAATCACTGAGTAGATTCTTTACAGTCAGTGAAAGGATATTCATGTAATAGTTCTTATCCTGCTGAGAACATTTCCTGCATGACCCAGGTTATTAAAGTTAACTGTGTCACTAGTTTTAAATATATATTACAAGTGGAAAATGGTGATAATCTTGCATTTTGCCCACAAGAATCAGATCTCTGCAGCATTTGTCTTGGAGGTTGTCATGATCCTGATGGGTGCTTACTTTCTAAGGACTATGAGAGTGCTGGCCACCAGGCTTGTACCTTTCATCTATTTGCCTGAAGAAGTAGACTAATACCCAATGTTTCTCAACGAGTGAGAGCAATCATGAAGAACTTCTTTTCTTTTCTTTCTTTCTTTTTTTTTGAGCTGGAGTCTCACTCTGTTGCCCAGGCTGGAGTGCAGTGGTACACTCATGGCCACCCCAGCGTCAACCTGCTGGCCTCCAGCAATCCTTCTGCCTCAGCCTTCCAAGTAGCCAGAACTACAGGCGCATGCTACCATGCCTGGCTAATTTTTCGATTTATTGTAGAGACAAAGTCTCACTGAGTTGTCTGGACTGGTCTCGAACCCGCGGGCTCAGGCAATCCCAAAGTGCTGGGATTACAAGCTGAGCCACTGAGCCTGGCCAAATAACTTATTTTTTAAAACAACTACTTTGTATGGGAAAATTCCATTAACTTTATGTTCCATCCCTACAGGCTGAACTTACATTCTGCACGGGAGATATTATAACTGTTTTTGGTGAAATTGATGAAGATGGATTTTATTATGTAAGTTTTTGAAACATCAAGAGGCACCATTTTATATTCTCTCTCTCTCTCTCTCTCTCTCTCTCTCCTGTTCTTTTTCTTAAAATCATGCATGGACTTTATGTGGCTGGTCTCTCTTCACTGAGTTATATACACTACAAAAGCCAGGACTGCAATGTTCACTATTTCCTCTTTGCTAATAGCAGCATTTTCAATGTATATAAACTGTAAGCAAAAGAAATGCATCCACATTCTTACATCTAAAAATCACTGCCATCCCAACATTTACAAAACAATTTACCTTGCTAGATCATTGACTGCATAAGTCAGAAATTCGCTTTCTCATAGGAAAAGAAAAAGAAATAATCCCAGAACACGTCAATTCATAAATCTGGCAGATCTGAGATGCTTCCACGGCCTTGGTTGTGGGCCTGGGGCTCCACCGCCCACCTCCTTCCGTTCCCTTCCCTCTCTATTCCCCAGGATGTGTCTTTAATATCCCCGGGACCAGGATGGGAGATAATGGGGGTGAGGGTCGTCTTAGTGTTCCTGCAGCCAGGTAGTGGCAGCCCCTCCCCAACCAGAGGCCCCCAGGACCACTCAGGAGGCCTCAGAATGTGGAGCCCAGGGGGACCCCACCCCCGTCAATGCAGCCACCTACCCTTCACTCCCTTTTGTCTGTATGGTGTGGTGCCAAGCTCTCTCCTCCCCTGGTTTTTGGGTTTTGAGAGCCAGGCACTTAGTGAGGATATTCACTGGCACGTGATTGTCATGTAGGTTCCAGATACTTCTGTCTAGAGCATCCTCTGCCTGTAGGGTCACGTCTGAAAAGTCCTTCAAGGTATTAGAAGCACCGTAGTTTGCTTCATTGGTGTTAATTGTTTACATTTCTACTAACTTCCTATTTTTCCCCTAGTTAGGAGAGCTAGGGTCTCCATACCATGTATTAACTAACCTGCGCCTCCCCACTTTCAAAAGATGCCACCCTCATTATAGACACTAAATTCCTGTGGATACTTGGCGCATTTAAGGACTTTAATCCTCCTCTAAGCTGCCACATGTTGACACGGGAGGGATCGTTTTGTGAAGAGTCCTGCTCCCACAGCAAGCCTGCACTTTTTTGTTTGGAGGAACATTTCGTTTTTCAACTAGGGGGACGTTGATCTCTTGTACTATTGCTTTTCAATTCCGACACGTGGCATGTCTCTTTTTCAGTTTTCCTTCAGCTGTTCAAAAAGACTCGTGGACACATTCTTACATGTCCTTTCTATATCTTAAGTTCATTCTCAGAAATTTTATAAGAATGATCTTTTTTCCTGGTATATATTCCACTGGTTATTTAGAAAATATATTGGAAGAGTGTGTGTGTGTGTGTGTGCGTGTGTGTGTCCCCACATATCATTCTTATGAATGCATTGGGATGTTATCAGTTGATTCTCCCAGCCATGATGATTTTGTCTCTTCTTCACCAGTATCTGTAACTGTGTCATCTTTTTGTTACTGTCTTACTGCATAATTTGGAACAATTCTGAGTAACACAGATGGGGAGGTCTATGACTTACTACGGATTTCAGGAGGAATACCACTCATTTTACACTTATGTATAGGTTAGACTATTAGTAAAGATATACAGTCTTTATAATGTTAAGAAAGCATCCTGTATTAGTTGATTAAGCTTATTTTTCACCAGTAAATTATTGGCCATCATATATAATTATTTTTAAAGCATTGGATTTTTTTTATTCAGAAGTTATGTTTATATTTCAGAAATAATATTGATCTGTATTCATTGAAGTATTGTTGTTGTAACTTGTATCAGGATTATGCTAGAATGACCAACTAAACTGAGGAGATGCCAATCTTTTTCTGTGCTCTGGAACAGATTAAATAGGAATTACTATACTTGGACGGTTCTTAGAATCTGCCTATAAATCTTCTAGGTTCAGCATCTTTTTAGAGTATAGTTGGACAACAGTTCTCATTTGCTTGCATGGGTATCTTCTCATTGCATCAATCTTTAAAAAATTTATATATATTTAGAAAAACATATCCTTCCTCTGGATTTTCAAACATATGGACAGAATTGACATAGTGTTTTCTCCTGAATTTAAAGATATTTTTCTCACTTATCACCTGCATGTTGTATCTTATTTCCTTGAATCGTCTTGCCTATTCTATCCTGGTCCACTTCTAGGAGGAATCAGATCTATATTAGTATTAAATGTAAGCTCCTTTTCCTTCTCTCTCCTCCAAACAGTTCTAGGATTCTTTTGTTCTCGTTCGCTGGGTGGATGGCCTAGTTCATTAGCTGCTTTTAATTTTTAAACTTATTTTAAAGATGTGAGGTGCAATTCAGGATTAGGTACACAAGTGGTCATTAGACATCAGGACACACCTCACTTGACACCCAGAATCTTGGATTTCCTGGCCTCTTGTTCTCTGATAAGGATGACCTTGAGCCTTTCCAGAGTGAGCTGCTCGCTGTGTTGTGGGTCCTTGTACTGCAGAGACTTTCCGTCTCTCCTTAGGCCCGGCACATCCTGCGTCGAATAGCCATGTGTGAGCGGGGCAGTGCGTGACCCTGTGTCTGTCCCAGCCTCCTTCTCAGCTCGGCCATGAGTCGCATCCTCTCCCGGGAAGTCGCCGTCTCCAGTCACTCATGACTCCAAGGCCTGTCGCATTTGAGACCTCCTGGTGTCTGTGGTGACACCACCACTGTCCCGTTCTTCACTTACATGCTTTCACTGGCCAGAGTATGGGGGAGTGAGTCAAGGAAGCCCACACACAGGCCTGGCCCATGCAGCGGGCTTGGGGTGGGAGGGGGGTGCCTTTCAGGTCTTCTGCCAACTTGGCTTGGAGGTTAGGCCTCCAGAGGGTGAGTGCCAGGCCTCCCGCATGGAGTGGTGACAGTGAGACGCAGTAGAGATGCAGGGATCAGGTCAGGGAGTGCCTGTGGATGGGGAAGAGGCAGCTTCGATTTTTCTTCAAGAGTCACTCCGTGTGGCGTTTCGGTGGTGGACTTGGGAAGGAAGACGGGTGGGGCCGGGAGGCCAGGGAATACTCTGTGGCATGGTCCAGGCAGGACACGTGGCTTGGACTGGAGCAGTGCTCGTGGGAGGCAGACAGGAGGTAGACTCGAGATGATCTCACCAGAGCTTGGATGCTCAGGCTGAGGCGAGTTTGACCCAGCCATGGGTGGCCTTAGGGATGCAGGGACAGGAATTCAGTTAACAGAAACACAGTTTGGAAACTCCTGAGCTTGAGGGGTGTGAGTGGGATGCCTGAGGCTCTCCAAATGGAGTGGGGTTCGTGGCAGAGCAGTCGTCCAGAGGCCACGCAGCTTCTAGTCACCGCCCCGACATGGTAGCACAGTGTGGAGGCATCGGACTGGGGAGGCAGTGACGTGGCACTGTGTCACTCAGACAGGGCTTTACGAGGTCTGTTTTAGGCCCAGAAGAATGAGAACACCATAAGAGAGCAGGACAGGCAGGTCCACCGTTTTGACTTGGGGCCAGGCCCTCTGCAGGGCTGTATCCATAGGATGTGGTGTGATCAGGACACTGAGGGAGATTTGTGGGTGAAGCCCAGTGTTTCATAGAACACACTTCCAAATACAGCCAACGACTCCATCTGATCACCCAAGACACAATCTTCCCTGAGGCTGGCAAGGAAATAGCATTGGATCTCACGAGGGGCTGGACTAAATGTCAACATGTCTTTGTGTGGACATGTCATTTGCAATCCTTGATAGAAAGGAGTCACCGGGAGCTCATGCTCAGTACAAAACACAGAGAGCCTAGAAAGAGCATCGGATGCATCGGAGCATCATCAATAGAGAAAACCAGCCAACGGTGGAGCCTGAGAGAGGGGGACTAGGGCCATCACAGGTGACCAGGAGAGGGAATTCAAGGTCAAAGCAGCAAGCACGTGCTGGCCAGGGTTGCTGGGGAAGACGTGGGAGGGCCTGGGACCATCTCCTTCTTTCCAATTCATGTTTATGTAAAATTGTGGTAAAATTCACGTAGCATATCTTAATCATTTTTAAGGGTACAGATCAGAGGAGTTAAGGGCATTTGCACCGTTGTGCAGCTGTCACCGCCATCCACCTGCAGGATGCTTTCTGTCTTGCCAAAGTTAAGCTCTGAACCTGTTACACACTAACTCACTTCCCCTCTGCTGACCCCAGCACATGCCTTCTGCCTTATCTCTGTGAATTTCACCAGGCCAGGTACCTCACAGAAGTGAGAGCCTGTGGCACTTGACTTTCTGTGACTGGCTTATTTCACTTAGTGTCGTGTCCTCCAAGCCCACCCGTCGCAGCCTGTGTCAGAAGTTTGTTTTTTCTTTACGATTCAACACTAATCCATAGTATGGGTACACTGCCTTTTTTATTCATTTATCTACCAATAAACACCTGAGCTCCTTATACCTTTTAACTGTTGCAGATAATGCATCTATGAACCTTGGCGTACAAATCTCTTTTTGAAACCTGCTTTCAGTTCTTCTGGGTGTATACCCTGCAGTGGAATTGCCGGATCATTTGGTAACTGGACTTTTAGGTTTTGAGGAACTGCCCTGCTGTTTTCAGTGGCAGCTGCACCATTTCACATTCCCATCATAGCGCCGGGTTCCAGTTCCTTCACCAGAGCTTACTTTGAGTTGGCTTTGTGTTGGCCAGTAGCCATCCTCGTGGTGTGAGGCTGTGCTGAATGGTTTGGATATCTCCTAATGATTAGTGATGTCGAACATCTTTCCATGTGCTCACTGGCCACCTGAGTGTCTTTTCTGAAGAAAGGTGTATTTTTAAATGTTGAGTTGTAGGAGTTTGGCAGCAGATGTTTTCTCCCGTTCCATAGGCCGCCCTGCCTCTCTTCGGAGTGTGCCCAGGCATTGTTTATCTGACCCAGCAGGCTATTGCATATTGTCATTCCCTAACCCTGGGAAACAGAGAAACTGACCCCGCACTGCCCAGGGTCAGCCGAGTTCGAACTTGGCTTGGGCGCTTGGGCGGCAGGTGGGCGTTGGGGCATTTGCATGTAAACCACTCGGTGCAGATGGCCAGCAGACATTGGACCTTCACTGTGCACAGGCAAGGTATGCCAACGAGTGGAAAGGCCTGAAGGAGAGAGACAGCCTGGGGCAGTCGTCCCTGACGGGAGGCATCAGCAGATACTTTCACCTCCCCATACTGTTTGTCGACAAGAATGTACCCATGCACAAGGGGGAAGGAAGACATGGGGCTGGACAGGTCAGCACTTGCCTGGCCTCCACCCCTGAAGATGCCTGTGAGGATCTGGGCTGGTAAGCCTGGGTGATGGCATTTCTAGAAGCCCCCCAGTGCCTCTCAGATCAGCCAGGCTTGAGAACTACTCAGTGAGAGCTCCCAAGCAATGTTCCCACAGAGCTTGTTGCTAGGAACCACCTCCACCCTTCTGGCCGATACACCAGTTCCTCAGCTCCTCCCTGGACGAGCAAAATGAAGATCTCGGGAGAGGAGCCCGGGCTCTGCTTGGTCAGCGCGTTGCCGGGGTGACCCTTGTGATCAGGATAATCTGGAAACTTCCATCTCCAGTCCCTTCAAGTCCTACCACTGTTCACCAGTAGAGACTCACCCTGTGTCTCCTCTCTGAGCCGTGTTCCTTTAGCTCAAGCAACACGTAGGCTTCCGGAAAGATAACCTGTTCTTCTGCCTCTCTCCTGTGACCTAGGGGGAGCTGAACGGGCAGAGAGGCCTTGTTCCCTCCAACTTCCTGGAAGAAGTGCCTGATGATGTGGAAGTCTACCTTTCTGACGCTCCGTCCCACTACCCTCAAGACGCCCCCATGCGCTCCAAGGCCAAAAGGGTAAGCAAACCTCCTTGGTCCTTGTGACTTCCGTCCCACTCTGCCATACGTGACCTGATACGATTTCGCTTTGATATTTTGATATCCTGGGCCGAAAAGCATACACCCTGAGTTTTTTCTCTGCCCTTCCACGGGGGTTGTGCCTACAAATTCCTAATTCTAAATCTTAAGTGTATCCCTTTCACCAGATTGACCCTTTCAAGTCTAGCCAGCCTGCCTTTACTCAGAAAGGACCATCCCGTCCCACACCGTAGAGACACATTTCAGTTTGATCAAGAGAGAGAGGGGAGTTCTCCTCTTCAGCTTTGGGGCAGTGATGGTTACCTGCCCTGTTAGGATCTGAGTCCTCTACCGAGAGCTTCTTAGGCATATTTAACTGTTAGATGACATTCATGTGTAGTATCTCATTTTTATTTTATTTCATCACTGCGAGTTTTTATATATTATATTTTTATATATATATTTTTATTTCTTTGCTCATCTGCTTGGAAACAGAAGAAGAGTGTTCATTTCACACCTTAATCAGGCAATGTAGCCTTCACGTAAGTGAGCAACTGAAGATACCTGTACAGATACCAACTTAAGCTACCTTAACTGGACCAATGTGGTAGACTTAAGGCTTCATTGTGGGGTTACAAAAAGACAAAAAGAAATATGTCTCAAAAAAGTGATCGGACCTAAAGTATTAGGCCATTACTTGGACTCAGTTGTACAGCAACTGAATTTATAGTGAAACAAACCGTCCTCAATAATCGTTTCCTACTACTTACATTAAGATCATTTGAAAGGCCAACATTGGGAACATATTTCTTAACAAGCTAATCGTTGGTTTACATAGAGAGTGTTCCAATGTCTACTCATAATTAAAGCTGCATATTGCATTGCTAGCCACTCTTGGAAAAAGCACAACCTACCAAATATGTTTACTCTGGGAGGCTTTACTCAGAAAAACCTAATTCCAGATCAAGCAGATGAGTGGTCAACGGAGGTGACCGGGCGCTGGCTCTGAGCACTCCAGGGCTCGCCTGGGCTGCCAGCACGGGTTTCCCCAGTTGCCCTCCCTCCACCTTACGAGAGCACCACGCTCTTCCTCAAAGCACAACCGTTCTAATACTCAGCGGCTGGTGAAAGCCAAGTCTGTTGGTATACCAATGCAATACTAGGTTTTCTGAAACATGCAGCTCAGGTGATTGCATTAGACGGAATAGATGGTATCTTCAGGTGTACTTTGGGATGCTTGACTAGGTGTCTCCATTAGAATTAGACCTTGATTTTAAATCCAAGCAAGCTTGAAGCCCCTTGGCTTATGCCCTTTGCCTGCTCAGTAATGAACACTCGGTTAGCAAGAGGTTTGCTCTGGAGAGGGGCGGGGTTGGAGGAAAGACGACGCTGTGGTATGCCACCAGCTCAGGCGTGTAGTCGCCTGTGAGAGGAAGGGAGGCGAGGTCGTCATGCCATGTGTTAGAGCGGAAGTCTGTCTCTCTGAAGCACTGTCCCTCGTGCACTTACAGTTCACGGAAGCACTACGGTGTGCTACCTACTGAGAAAAGTCTATGTTCCATTATTTGGAAATAACGAAAGCATCACTAAGGGCCTTTAAGCTTTCTTTGATTGTAATTAAGGTTCATTTTAGTTTTTTTTTTCTTTCAACCAGTGTGCCATCTCCAATATTTCGACAGTATGCTAACCAACCCAGGAATGCACTTACCCATATCAGGATTTTCTATAACCAAATAGCTTCAAATACAACAAAACTCCCCTTAAGCGCTTTTGCTTTTAAGATGACTGATGGGTACTCGGCCAATTTACTATCAACCTAACTTAAAATAACGTCTTCCCCTGCTTTTCGTTTTAATTTACAAAGAAAATTATTACCTACCTTTGTTTTGCCAAAGCAATGGCCACCCCCTACCCCAAGACAAAGAAACGGAAAGCCACACATGTCTGGCTAGCCCTCTGTCTGAATGCTCTGGGGGAGGACGTCCCTTCTCATGGCATACTTTAAACATTGAAAGAAGAAACGAACCACCCCCTTGACCTTGGCTGGTGGGAACGGGACAGTACGATGTTACCAGTGAATTATGTTGTTGGCGCTCACGCACTCAATAAACTGTCACAATGTACCTACTAGGTTCCTCCTGAGGGGTCAGGGACAGCAAGGAGCGCTCCATCCCCCACAGTCCATCTCCATTCGGGGTCACCTACGTCATCTATGGGTTCTGGTAGTCCTGGGAGAGGCAGGGAAATGTCCTCGAAAAAGAAAAAGGGGCTGCTTTCCAAAGGCAAGAAACTGCTGAAAAAGCTGGGTGCAGTGAAATGACCCTTGTGCTTCCGGACAACTTCCAGAGCGATGTAATTTTCTTTAATTCCAAACTAGGGCTTTCATGACTCAAGTACGTCCTAAAACCAATCTCCACCCCCCAACCCCCACCCCCGACACCAGTACAGAAATGCACTCTGCACCACCATGCACTTGACACCAACCGCGAAACACAGCCCCCGCTGACAGTCTGCCACTGTCCAAGGTCCGATGCGGGAGGCGGGAGGGGGCGGCTTACTCACAAACGGGGGCGACCGGCTCTGTCGCTTACCCCCACCTGTAGCTCCAGTCTTTGTGCATTTGTCATCCGCCCCTAGAGGAATGATTTCGACCTTTCTCCCCTTTCAAAATGCTTGCCTCATAATGCATAACCTTCACGTTAACTCTGGTCTTGAAATTCCTAGTTTAATCCGCCTTGATGTTCTGCCTTATAAATGCACAATGATTTGTACTGTCTAATAAAAAAATCCAGTGTCTACTTTGTATGTGTTGTGCATTCAGTGGTCTTCATCCTCACTGACACAGTGGTTCCAAATTCAGTTGTACAGGCTGTGCATTTTAAGATACTGGGTTTGGTCTTTCAAAGCAAGCCAGGCAACACACAGCAAATGTTTACTCAATCATTCAAAAAAGAGAAAAGGAGAGAAAGTAACTTTGCTTGGTAAAGTACCAGTACTCCAACCTGCCAGAAAACTGATAATCTTCATTGCTTTCAGTGTTACACATTTTATGGCATATGGTTTTCTGTTACTTTCATTATTTGTCAAAATGCCATACCCCCAACACTCAACAATGAATGGCACACAGTAAGCCACATCGTGCATAAGCCACATCCCAAACATCCTAAATTTAAATCTGTTCAAAACGACCCACAGCCATCATCATTGGCACTTGAACAAGACTTACACAGTTGCTGGCAGATGTATCTGATGGTTACTCTTTTGTAATTCCTGTCCACTTGTACATTGTTTTTACTCTTTATACATACTTTTCAGACTGCCTTTCTTTTGTAATTTATGGACGGTTTATAAATGAATGACAAAGCTCTCCCCATTGTGTCTTCAAAACCTGTATTATAAACTGTGATATAATACTCTGTGGTAGATTTCCTAAGAGGAACTTTCTCAGTGTGTGGTTAAGCTCTGTGTGGGTGTGTGCATGTGTACAGTTAGTGTAAAATATTTTCTAGAAATAAAATTTGTTATTTTATACAACACCGTTTATTCTGTATCTTTGTTTTAAACACTTTTTATCATGAGATATCGAGATAACAGAGTTATCAAGATAACGGAGTTCCTTTCTCTTAAATGTTTACAAAAAACTCAAACACCATACCATTTTTCCAAAAATAACTCTGACCTCTGTTTTGGGAGTCACTGACAAAACGCTGCGACACTCTTACACCACTGTTGACAGTTCCCTCATGGCAAACAGAAGGTGGTTAGCATTGAGTCAGGACCTCCTGTGTGCAAAAAACACTCATCTACAATAAACACTTCTGGGTGAATTCAAACCACGCTTGTCAATGTTTCCCTTTGGCAACTTTAGAATTCGAGTGAAATTAATAACGAGCTACAGTGACATAATACAATCAAATACAACTTAGTTGCCCAAATGTACAGAATTTTCTTTACAGCCTTCCTTATTTTAAAATTCTTCACATAATAGGAATTTGGTCAAAGTAAGAAGAAAAACTAATATGCTATGGCAAGATGAAAACAATACAGTTCAAATGCATAACTTTATGAAATGGTAGGCAAGCATATCATTGTAAGTGCCACATAGTGTCATTCATGTTGTCTTATGTTTTTACTTACTGCATTTATAGAAAAAATTATGTTGAAAAATTGAGGACAGTTTCTCCAAAACAAACATAAAGATCAGCAAATGTATCCAGGACTTATGTTTCTCTAAGTCTTTTCAAAGTATTTAAAAATTCCTCCAATTATGAAAGTGTAGGAAACCCGAAGTCATGATGGGCTGAACTTGGCTTTTTTTCCCTTCTTATTTTATAATTAAGTACAAGTTTCTTGAAATCCAAAGCACCTCCTCTAAGGCCATGAAAGTGGGTGAATCACATTCGGTTACTCATTACCCCCTTGCTTCCCCACCCCCCATTCCCTTCCTAAAATAACTGAGCCCAAAGTCTCTTTGGCCATCTTCTTTCCCAGTGACAGAAGAAGCCATCAGCTTTGTTCTGTGACCTACAGTCACACCCAAATAAGTTGGGAAGCTCTCTGTTGCCCGTGTAATTTTCTGTCTTCAGGGATCAGTCTAAAAGTTGGACTTAAGCCCAAACTGTACAAAGGCACATACAGTATTGCCTCTCCCAGGTAGGTGGCCTCCACACAGCTCCTCCATGCCTCTCAGGAGATCAGCATGCAGCACAGGGCAGTGGACACCTCTCGCAGGACTGTCCACTTGGCTCTGTTGTACTCTGTTCCCCCAGAGGAAAGCAGTGATTCTTTCTACGCAGAGGGACTTTTGTCTTCTTATCCCAACTTTTAAAGATACAATTTTCATTGTATCTTTAAACATTGAAAGGTTCAGTTTTCACTGGACAGCCAACAGTACCGGAATTCTTAATTTTATAACTTTCCCACCTAAATTCAAAATAGAAGATTCCCCCAATTGTTCTGCACTTCTTGTTCACTTAAAATCTCTCTTTTCTTGCTAACATTTTTCAAACAGTGCTTTTAACCATTTGCTTAAAGTAGAGCTAAAACAACTCCTCTGTGTTCTGCCTAGAGAGCTAGATTGCATTTTCTTATTCTAGAAAGTATCTAAAGATGCACTCAACATTAAAAAAAAAAAAAAAAAAAGGAGTGCACAGATAGCCACAACTTTCCAGAAGCTTCTCCTGCTCTTTATTCTGTGGCCTAAAGTGAAGAAGCTCTGTCAGTAAGGAACTTGCTCTTGGGAAAAGTTCTGGTAACTAAGGGAAAGCGTGTTTGACGCATGTTGGCAAAGGCTAGAACTCAGTGGAAGGCTCTGGAAGGAGAAAGAAAAACAAAACTGTTTGTCAGCAACATTTAAAGCTGACAATTAAATGATATTAAAAGAAACTTCTAAACATCTTTAATTTTGAAAACACTGCATCCTATGCTAGGTATGATTTCCTGTGAGTAAAGACAGACTGAACACATGTACATTGGCCAGCGGTGAGTGCCCCAGCTGCTAGAAATCCCCTTCAGTCTGAGTCTAGGACCCCGGAGCTGGCAGTGACATCACCACGTAGCAGTTTGTCCTGCCACTTCGTACAGCCTCATTCACAAGAAAGAAACTATGCCTGGGATGACCAAAGCAAGAATACACTTACGTTAGGACAGTGGTCAGAATATCTAGAAAGATGAATCCGATGTCAAAGTGAAACTGACATAAGAATGTGTGATATACTGACCCGCTGTGTAACAGAAGGATGCGCTCTGTGGCCTAAAAACTGCAAGCAGAGGCGATCCACCACACACGAGGCAGGAGAGTCTTGTGCCTGGAGAGTCTTGTCCAAGAGATGTCAGTGCCAAGTTTGTAAAATACGGAAGAGAACGTCAGGTTTGCAACTTCACGAGGTGAAGAAATGTGGACTAGTGATGCCACATCTCTCAGCCGCCAGTTGCCAAAAGCCCAGACGTGGAAACACGGGACAGTGGGGAGGGCACGGGGGCCCGCCTGGTGGACTCCAATGCCGGGTGGTCCTCACACACTTGGCCCCGTGACTTTCTGGAGCCTAAAAGTGCTTGTCCTCCAATTGACTCTCACTTCTAGGAACCCAATTTGAGGAAAGATTAACTATAACAGTGAAAAAGTAGTAAATTAACAAAAACCACCAGAGGTCTAGCTAAGTAAAACTAAGGAATAGCCAATGAAAACATTCACTCTTCAACCGCTGCTGACACGGGAAGCTGAAGGCACGGCAACTGGGGGATGGCTCTGTTGACCCCAGGTCCCCTGATGCGGGGAGGGCCCAGGTGTGTCCTGCCGTGCGGGTCGCCTGTCCACACCCGCACCTCTGGCCTCCTCCCATCTCACTGATAGTCATCAGACCCACACAGCTGACCCAAGAGCTGTGTCCCTGCCTCCAGCCCGCCTACTGTTCAGTTCAGCACTGCCCAGTTCATATTTCAGTTTCCAGAATGAGGAAAACACACAGACAACTCTAAACTGTGGAAACGATCACGCCTCTGCCTCTGTCTCCTCTGCTCCCTTGCTTTAACAGCCCTCATTAGGGGGTGGAGCAGGAGGAGGAGGGAGGGAGAGGACATCCCTGGACCCTGGTAGTATCTGGCCAACCAGCACCAAAGCAGCCACCTCCAGCTCTCCAGTATGATTTGTGTGGAGACTGCTAAAGTTATGTCACATTTGGGGAATAATCTCCAAGCACTAAGAAAGCAGGGGGGAGATGAGGCCCCATCAGGAACTCCTGCCACCGCACGGCCCACGCCCTGGTCCTGAGCAAAGGCCCATCAGAAGGTCTGGCCCTCCTGAGACCCCAAGCCTCAGCAGCCTCTCCTAGCCTGGGCCTGCGCAGGCTGCTTCTGTCTCCCTCCCAAAGCACCCTGGTGGGAGCAGAAGGCGGAGCACAACAGTGAGCCAGGGCCCGTTCTGGGCACGCAGCCCTCAGGACCCTCCAGGGGACAGGAGAAGAGCAAAGGTGAGGGCCCCAGCATAGCAGCCACTGGGACTGTGATCCCCCACACCTGCCAGAGCTCAGTGCACAGGGAACTGGGAGAAGGGTGGGGACCCAGAGTCATCACACACGGACTGGATAAGTGCCGCTGAGGAAGTGGGCACTGGTCTCAGAGAAGAATCTGGCCTACAGGCCACAGCAACTCCTGGGTCTTGCCAGGTGACGAACAGGGTCTCATAAAGCCTTGGCCTGTCTGAGATGAGAGAAAGAAAAGCATGAAAAGAAAATGGAGACTTTGGGAGGCTGAGGTGAGTGGATAGCGAGACCTCATCTCTACAATAAATCAAAAAATCAGCACGGTAGCACCTGCCTGTAATTCTGGCTACTTGGAAGGCTGAGACGGAAGGATTGCCGGAGCCCAGCAGGTCGAGGCTGCAGTGGCCGGGAACGGCCACTGCACTCCAGTCTGGGTGACAGAGTGAGACTCCAGCTCAAAAAAAAAAAAAAAAAGAAAGAAAGAAAAAAATAGAAAATGGAAGGCGGGCGGGAGACATGCCACCCACATGCCAATCCCCAAGAGGCCACGTGAGCAGGACCAGGGATGCCCACACACACAGGTGTGTCCGAGCAGGGACACCTGGACTGAGGGGTCCACATTCCGTTAAAAGGGGAAGTAACCTTGCTTGACCATTGCCCGGAAGACGTTGTCTTTATTACCCTGGGCTGCCAGCACAATGGCCCTCGACTCCGGAGGGCCACACCCTCTCTCTCCTCTACCAGGGCTGTTTGCTGCACAAACATCCTGAAAAAACCATCTGGAACAAAGATTAAGTGCCTCCACTCACAAGTTGTGCAAGCAGGTGAGTGGCAGATGGACAACGGTCTCCCAATACTAAGTATTTTCACATCTGTTGTATGTCAAAGCCTAGAAATCAAGACATCAGAAAACACTCAATATTCATTCTGTCTGTGCAAGACTAAGAATATGAAGCTGAGTAACAGAATGAAACTTTTTATGAGACTAAAATTCAAATTGAAATGCTAACTTGACCTAACAACATGTTACACAATCACAACTAAGTTCAGTTACAGTTTTCTTCCCCCTAAACTTAGAGTTCTAATGAGATCTGGTTCCTGACAACATGATAAGTTAATTCTGGCTACTAAGTGGAAGTCAAACAATCAAACTCCCCACTGACTTAGAAACTTTAAAAGTACTTATCAAAATAACTAGTGGGTCAAGAAGAGATCAAACTGAAATAAAAATAAAACTATGTTTAAAGCCGAATTAGAGCAAAAACCATGACAAAGCTTTCAGGATGCAGGGAAAGTAATGCTTCAAGGGACATTTCTAACTCTAAATATTATGGTAGAAAAGATGAATTAATGGAGTTAGTGACCAACTGAAGATATTATATAGAAATAAAAGAAAACTGAAGAAACAAAGAGCAGAAACCAATGAAATAGAAAACAATAGAAGACAGAAGTTGCTAGATGAACTAACTTTGAACTAAGACTAAAGATGGTTGACATACATCTGTAAAAGCTAACCATAACACACAGAAGACATTAACAATGCTTTAAATTAAA